AAATCTTGACCTCCGTGTGTTTCGTACAATGCAGCTTCTCGAAGCAATTTAGCAAACGGCAGCGGTTTTGTAAATTGTTTAATTAGCAACTTCTTCATTTTTCTCCAACTTATGGCAAGGTGATCTTGCAAATCGTACCACCATCTAGCCATACCATCCAGTCTATTTGCGACTAATTTTATCACCGTTAAATCGTCCCATCTATAGGATTCCGCTAACTCATCAACTTTGCGAACCCATAAATCTATCGATTGTTCTGCACTCTGCGGATCAAAGGTAGGTATTAACTTTTCATCACTATAACTCGGGTGGGAAGGAAAGCGCCTATGATGATTTGATTGTCTTTGCCTTTTTGTCCTTCGTCTTTTCTGTTGCTTCCTGTCGCTAGTTGAAGAACTCGAGGTCGAAGTCGACGTCGAACTTGTAGAACTGGCCCGTTGGCGTTTAGCTGCACTTAACGCCTTTTCCGCTTGTATAACTGACTGACACACTGTTGTTGACGTCGAAGGACCCGGGCGCGGGGAAAGGGATGACGTTGTAGTTTCCCTTACAAACATGATGTACTGCTAACACAAACGTCACTATGCTGTGGGTGAATTTAGGGAAGATATCCCACTTCTGATATATAAGATGAACAGGATTGTAAAAAACACCACCGAGTTCAAACAAACTAATTTAATTAGGAAAAGATATACAGCTTAAACTCGGTCTATCTATTGAAACAATAACTAACCGACTGAATAATACTTCTTTAAGCATTTCTAGGGTGATCTCATTTATAGTTTACAAAAGCCTAAACGCACGGTTGTTACAGTTTAATTTTGCGGTAGCGTAAATCATCACAATAGCGTTTAATCGCATTGTATCGCATTGTATCGCCTTTTTTGGTTACCTCGCTACCTTTGGTTCCTCGCGCTTGCCGCGGTCGAATTCCGGCCACCCGTATGCTTAGTCCGTTTTCAATTCGCGACAGTGGTACCACGGCCACTGACAGGAATTTCTCCGTCGCGCGGTGTTCCTTCCCTCCCCCTACCAATTTCTGGTTTCCGTTCTGATTCTCGCTGTGACTGTCTAAGGCGAAATGGCTGCATGTTCTTTGATGGAAAATTTGTGCATTATTTGAAGCATCCGCAAGGGATACTTTTTCATCGAGGCTCTAAATAATTCTCTAGTGTAGTGTGGTTGTCTGGATACCGTATTTTCTCGTTTGATGGAGAATTAAACTATTTTGGGAAATAGACAGCACATTTCGACTTTACGAGCTGAAGGTACAGAAGTTGAGCCCGTTTTATTAATCGAAGCTATCAGTTTCCGTCAGTAGAAGGCCCTCGTCGAGAGTGGAGGTTCGACCTCCCTTCTGTGGAAAAAAACCCTTAGTAAAAAGGTAATTTTTCTTCTCATTATTTTCACCTAGTTATACAGAGCATGCAGTGTTCTCGTGATTTAGTTTTACCGTTATTACAACCGTATTTCTATACAGGTTTTTTTTTTCTGCTTCCTCCTTCATCACCTCCGTCCTTTGGTATGTTTATTTTCTGCCTCCCCACGTCGACTGTGACGAGTTTGATTGTTGTTGGCGGAACCCCTGCTTGGTGAACTATCACCCATACGCCCCATGTGGTTTGGTGGACCTTGGCGCGGACGTCCTTCGATTTAGACAGCTAGAACTTCACCCCTCGATCCCGAGACAGGGCGACCCTGTACCAGTAACACCCCAGCAGTCATACCGAGTGAAAAAACTGATAAGTATAGCGAGTAGTTAAGGTTTTGTTGGCAACGTCTTGTTAATGTACTGTTTGTTCCTTTATATACCTAATTTGTCATTATTTACATATACGGAGTGTCTACCTTGCGAGACCCTCTCGTTAGTTATTGTTTGTGCCATTAGATACATTATTTGTCATTATTTACATTTACAGAGTGTCTACCTTGCGAGACCCTCTTGTTAATTACTGTTTGCGACATTATATACACCATTTGTCATTATTTACATATACAGAGTGTCTACCTTGCGAGACTCTCTTGTTAATTACTGTTTGTGACATTATATACACCATTTGTCATTATTTACATATACAGAGTGTCTACCTTGCGAGACTCTCTTGTTAATTACTGTTTGTGACATTATATACACCATTTGTCATTATTTACATATACAGAGTGTCTACCTTGCGAGACTCTCTTGTTAATTACTGTTTGTGACATTATATACACCATTTGTCATTATTTACATATACAGAGTGTCTACCTTGCGAGACTCTCTTGTTAATTACTGTTTGTGACATTATATACATCATTTGTCATTATTCACACCTACAGAGTGTCTACCTTACGAGGCCATTCCGCTAATTAACCGTAGTATATTCTATTTATTATTCACTAATAAATTGTTTGTTGGGGAATTGCCTGGTTTTATTTCTCGAACAAGGAATATTCTTGAATAACTGTCTCAGCTCAAGCTTTGGTTTTTTATGTTTATTTAGAGTCATCTTCTCGTCTGGGCAATTGGCTGGCCACCGCCAGGTAAAACGACCCTGAGGAGATCTAGTGAGAGAGAGCTAGTCTATACTAGGTCCTCCGGGCAGGCCTAGGATTTGACTTACCTTTTTTTTTTTGCTACACTCTTTTGCCCAGTGTAGAACCTCCCGCTAGAGGGAGTCGTAGCACAGTCTGCAATATTATGCCAACGCCTCGCCGGTCGTCAAGGCCAAGCAAAATCTGCTACGCTACCATTTTAGCGGACTCTAACAATAAACCCTAGAAAATAATTTTAAAATTCTGAAAACGTGTTTCGTGTAGTATCCAGGACATTTAAGCAATATTAAATAAATGCGATTTTTCAGTTATTTACTCAGGTTTAAGAACTAATCACAGCACGGATGAATTAATGAATTATTTAGATCACGTGACCGCTTTATATTTGTTAGACTACAACAAAACTTTTGATATCCACGGAGATTTTTGGCTTTCAAATATCACTAGAAATGAATTTTTTTCTATGCGCATAAAAAAAAACGTGGGCTTAACTTTTGGCGGCACAATATGTTAAAAAAATTCGAAAAATGTAATATTTTTCTTCCTATTTAATTATGTATCTTTTCAAGAGTTGATTTTACGCGAATATGGAAGAGGAAAAAATATGACTAGTTACAAATCGAATGAATCATGATTATTATTGTAAAAATCGAAAAAATCGCCAAAAATGGGGTTAAAACTGTCACAGATTTTTAAAGGAACATTATTATTAACCTTGCGTTGGGCCCCCAGCGTGTGTTTATAAAACATTCTCGGTTACATAAACATTGAATGTCTCGATGCCGATTTGGTTTTGCTAAATAAGTTAGTTGGGGTTCACCATTAGGCTGTTCACACTAAGTGATCAATAAAAGTAGGAAATTAAATTCCTAAAAGTATATTTAGGCCCAAAGACCAGTTATCTTGATAAAAAACTACTTTTTAGGGAATTTTTTTTGGAGTTTTTAAATTGGGTGTAGGATGTATTAGAAGTTAAAGATTCTTTGTTTAATAATTTTGTTATAAAATTTAGCAGGATAATTATTATTTAGTAAAATATTTTTTATTTTATTTATAATTTTAGGTCGATAAATGGGACTTGTTAAATGTATCGCTCTATTGATTAAACCAATAACTACACTTTTTTTGTATGTTATCGGGTGGTGAGAATTAAAATTTAAATATCTACCTGAAGAAGTGAATTTTGTAAACCATTTAGTTAAAATTAGATTATTTTTACGAATTAAAGTTAAATCAAGAAAATTGATTTTGTTTTTATTTTCAATTTCGATAGTAAATTGTAATTTTGGATGAAAATTGTTAAACTCATTTAAAATATCATTAATTTTATTTTCGGGAAATGCGATAATGCAAAGAATCTTTAACTTCTATAATACATCAAAAAATAAAACCAATAAATTCTGATCATAACTCTGTCAATTGTCAATATATTGCATTACCATATGTACAATTTTTATCTGAAAAAATTAAATCCAATTTATTTAAATACAACATTTTAGTTGCTCATAAATCGTTTAATCAATTAAATAAATTATTCACACCTTTAAAAAGCAAAACTCCTGTACTAAAACAATCTCATGTAGTATATTCTATTCCATGCAATGATTGCAATGGTCATTATATAGGTATGACATCACAAAATTTATAAATAGGGTCACGTTGACCCCGTCTCTACGACACTGCTGCTCATAAAATTTTTGAGCAGTACATCAAACATTGGTCTTAAGGTGCTAACTACACATAGCAAATTTGAAATAGAAATGTTCAGGCATTTTGGAATTATTGCAATGTTTAATTTTACATAAACTTTGACGCCCTGTATCTCGTTAAGGAGGCATTTGCGACCCTAAGTTTATTAAAACTTTTCGTCTTAATTTTTTATGTATTTATCTACCCTAGAAGTCTGTGAGCGGTTTTTTGAATATAAATGCTACCTCTTTCTATAACATTTTTTCCAAAACTGATTATTAACGGGTGTTAAAGTTAAATTTTATTTGGAGTTTTTTTGCAACACCATTTGCCACACTCATAATATTTTGACGAAATTTCGTATATGGGGGTTTTTCGGGATGAGGATTATAAATTTGCCCACCGTTTTTTCGCATTTTGTAGAGGGCGCCACATACCAGCCTTTATTTTGATTTGAATGGTTTCACCTTTTTTGTGCTACACTTTATGCGACTTTTGACTAAATATTTTTGTTCTCCTAACCTTTTGACATAAAAAAAGTATACTTTATTTGTTTCGATAAATCTATCCGTTTTCGAGAAAAACGCTAAAATAACATTGCTTGCATGTGATGAATACCAAATAATTTTAATTTATTTTCTACATTAAACATAGCATGCTTTGGAAACAAGCGCTTAGTTGCCTTGGAAACAAGTTTGTGGAGAATTAGTTTTGACAGATAGTAATTTTGTACAAGTTCTTTTGTAGTAATTGTTATCATAAAAATAATAATAAAAATGAACAACAATTACTCTAACGTGGAGTTGCGGGACATGCATTATTATTACGGTTTAGCTGCTGGCAATGCTCTTGCAGCACGACGTTTGTATCGCGAAGCATTTCCAAATAGAAACCTACCCCAATCGCGAATGTTCAGTACTATTCATCGAAGACTGGGAGAATTTGGATCGTTCAAAACTAGAATTTTTGATGTAGGTCGACAACGGAATACTAGAACAGCAGAAGCAGAAGCTCGTATTTTGAATTCGATAGAGAATAATCCCAATGTAAGTATAAGAAAAATTGCTATTCAGGAGGGCATTCCAAAGAGCTCCGTACATGAAACAATACGCGAACAAAACCTTCATCCGTACCACTACCAAAAGGTGCAAGCCTTATCTGCCGTAGATCCTGCTGCTCGTGTGAATTTCTGCAATACAATTAGAATACTTCATAATGGTGACCAAAATTTTGTTCGTAATATCCTTTTCACGGACGAAGCTGGATTTGGCCATGATGGCTTAATAAACCTCCACAATGAGCATTTTTGGTCTGATGAGAATCCTAATTTATCAATAGAGCGTGGTTATCAAAATAAGTTTTCCGTCAACGTGTGGGCCGGTATTGTAGGGGACTACTTAATTGGGCCACATTTCTTTCCACAAAGACTCAATGGTGAAGTTTACTTGGATTTTTTAAGAAACCACTTACCTATTCTATTGGAAGATGTACCACTCGGATTAAGAAATGCAATGTGGCTGCTTCAAGATGGCGCGCCACCGCATTTTAGTTTAGCGGCCAGAGAATTCTTAAATGAAACTTTTCCTGAAAGGTGGATAGGACGCGGTGGTTTTGTACAGTGGGCCCCTAGATCCCCTGACTTAAACCCAATCGATTTCTTTTTTTGGGGCTATCTGAAGACGCTTGTATACAGGACACCTGTGAATAGCGTCGATGAACTGAGAGAAAGAATTGTTGCTAATTGTGAGGTAATTAAGCAAAAGGAAGGAATATTCCATTGAGTTCGTCGGAATTTTTCAAGAATTAATTTATGCATTGAAGAGGAAGGACGTCACTTTGAACCTTTGATTTGAATGTTTAATTTGTATTTATGTATTTATTATGTATTTTAACCTTATGTTATTTTTTTATTATTTATCATTAAGCACCATCGTAACAACAAATTTTCACAAAAATTACTATCTGTCAAAACTAATTCTCCACAAACTTGTTTCCAAGGCAACTAAGCGCATGTTTCCAAAGCATAATATGTTTAATGTAGAAAATAAATCGATATGATTTCGTATTCATCGCATGCAAGCAATGTTATTTTAGGGTTTTTCTCGAAAACGGTTAGATTTATCGAAACAAATAAAATATACCTTTTTTANTTTTTTGCTACACTCTTTTGCCCAGTGTAGAACCTCCCGCTAGAGGGAGTCGTAGCAAGAAGTTAAAGATATTAAGAATTTTAAAGCAAAGTCGTATCCAATACCATATATGCACAAAGAAAAGGTAAGAGAAGAAATAGGTAAATTATTGAAAGATGAAATAATAGAAAAAGTAATACGGCATACATTAATCCATAATTAAAGTGGAGATATTAGGATTTGTTTAGACGCAAGGGCCATAAATAAATATACAGTTCCTCAGTACGAATCACCGTTAATAGTGGATGCTATATTGGGTAGAATTACTAAGGCTAATGTATTTAATAAATTGGATTTAAAACATAGCTTTTGGCTTATTCCTTTAGACATTGAATCAAGGAAGTACACCGGATTCATGATTGATGGGGAAATTTTTCAATTCAAAGTAATTCCGTTTGACTTGCAAAGTTCATGTTCAGCACTAGTAAGAGCGTTGCATAATATTTTAAATCGATATGACAAATTTGTCCTACATTACATTGATGACATCCTTCTGATACAATTGTGAACCACAGACGACAATTGGACATAATATTAAATGAACTTGACGATAACGGACTAAAATTAAACATAGACAAATGCCAATTTTATCAAAGACAAGTCGTATACTTAAGATACCAAATTGACCATACCGGTATACAAATGGACGAAGATCGAATACAAATAATAAACAGTTTAAAAGACTACAAAATTTTAAAATGTTACGCGGATTTTTGGGCATGATAAATGAGTTTTAAATGACTAATCCCGGACCTGACAAACTTTGAAATACCTTTGATAGAATTGTTAAAGAAAAATATAAAATGGACGTGGACAGAACAAGAACAAGAGATTGCATTTGAAAATATTAAAAATATATTAGTAGAAAAATTGAAATTATACCATCCAAATTAAGAGTTACCATTCACTATACGGACAGACGCATCTATACAAAGACTAGCAGGGGTATTAATACAGACACATGACAATACAGAAGTACCTATAGCTTTCACATCTCGAGTGACAAAGAAACATGAGCGAAATTATAGCGTTTCAGAGCTGGAATTGGCTAGTATTATATTTACAATAACCAAGATGAGATTTTACTTACTAGGAAACCGATTTACAATACAGACGGACAATCAAGCAGTGACATCAATTCTCAATAACAAATTTGGCAACAATCATATCCATCGATGGGCATTACTACTAAATGAATATGATTTTGATATACAGTACATACCAGGGAAACACAACATATTAGCGGACGCACTGACACGCATGGATATAAGACAAAATGATGACCAACGACTAGTAAAAATAGGAATAAATTTATTAACCAATAATGATGGAATATTTTCACTTGACATAATTATTTTAGATCAAAAGAATTTAACTTACAGAGAAAAAGAAAAATTGCTATATAAAGAACCAATTTACATAAAACAGACGAAAGACAATGATCTATATGCAGTAACTACAGACTTGACAAAACAAATAGTACGAGAATTACACAATAACTATGGACATGTAGGAATTCACCGAACTTGGAAAATATTCAGAGAAAATTGTTATAATAAACATGACAGACAAATTACGAAACATATAATCAAAAGGTGTCATATGTGCCAATTAGCGAAAGAAAAAAATATACATTACGAAGAAATACCAAAATCAATCAGAACAAACAGACCGAGACAAATAATCGCAATGGACTTCATAAGTAACTTAATACGTAGCTATAATTGTAGTAAACATAGTTTTCTCATTGTAGACACTTTTTCTAAGTATGTAAGAATATAAATCCTTGTAGAAAGACTAACACAAAGACAGTGATTCATTTACTTGACAAATACAGACAAGAAGAAGGACCTTTTGAAAATTGTATACTTGACAATGCTACATATTTTAGAAACACACGACTTACAAATTATTTCAGACAAATACAAACAAGACCACATTATAGGAGTATAAGGCATAAAGGCAAATCCTACCGAGAGATATGTTAAAGAGGTGTCAAAATACCTACGTATACTAGTACATGATGATCAGCCACAGTGGGAAAACTATTTGATAGACGTTGAACATTATTTAAACCGTATAGCGAATAACGTAACTGAAGAAAATCCCATTACAATATTTAAAAACATACAACCTGACAGACCATGGACAATTTCCACAAAAATACAGTATGACCAACTTATACAACAAGTGAATGGCAGACTATTAAAAGCGGCAGAAAAATATCAAAAACGAATGACAAGGAAAAAGACTAATATTATACATTTTAACAAGGGCGATCTGGTTGTGAGAACGCTAAGAGTTCCTAATCGAAAGGAATATAGATGTGCTAGGTTAATGCTACCCTATGACGGACCATACGTTGTTAACACCATCAATGGAACGAATAGTTACGAATTGAGATACGTAGACACAGATAAAATCAAAGGAATATATAATGTAGATCAATTACAACCATATTACGAGGATCGAGTGTAAATTTTATAATAGAAATTGATTTGACAAATTTTCTTATAACAATAAAATTTGCAAATTTTGGAAAATTGAGATGAAATTATAGTATTGAGAGCAATTTAAAAGTTAAATTAAAATTCTATTTGAATACAACACGGTGAAGAGAAAGGTTGAAATAATTGTTATAAAACTAAGAAAAATATGTGATTAAAAAAAATTGTTAGTATTAAATAGGTAGTATGAATCATTAGCAGAGAGTCGGATTACTAGAACAGAATAAATTTCAGAGATTTAAGTATAAAAATATTATCATTTTGGTCAAATAGAGTACATGCCAAAGATGTTATTAGAAAAACATAATAAAAATTAATTAGAAATCGCAAGTGACATATCAAACGAAAGCTAAAATGTCATAGTATAATTAAATAGTTGTAATATGAGTTAGAAAAATAAGTAGCAAGAGATATTAAGGTCTAAAGTAAAATTTATATATCAATAAGATGGAAATGTCAGGTAAATGTCAAAAATAAAGTTGGATCCACAAGTCATAAAATAGTACATGTAAAAGTCAAATACAAATATAGAAATAAGGAATATTTTGAAAGATAATTTAAAATTTTTGTAAAGAAACTTGAATAGGATTGTAAATTTGTAAAGTATAAAGTTAAGTGACGTGAAGTGTAAAAAGAAAACGGCATTTAAAAAGAAAAGGCATATATGTGGAAAGGGCCTAACAAGGAAGAAGAAATTAAGAGAGTAAAAAAGAAAAAAATCGAAAGATTATTGATTAGTTACCAAAAAGATTGTGTCAGAGAGAAGTGTTAAAGAAGTTAATTGATAAAAACCAGATAAAATAGAATTAGTTACCGTAAGAGAGTTGTTAAAAGAAGTAAATTGGGAGAAACCAGGAACGAGGGTTAAGAAGAATAAAACAAGCAGAACGTCCGGCGTTCCAGCAATAACAAAAAGAAGAGAATTCCAGCAGTAGATTCCGGAAATCCAGTGAGAGCCGAAAAACGAGGATACCATCAGCAGGTTCCGGAAATCCAGTGAGAGCAGAAAGACGAGGATACCAGCAGCAGGTTCCGGAAATCCAGTGTACTAGCTAAAGTAGATTGAAAAATACTATCAAAAAGGGCATAATACAAAATTTTCATATAATTAAAATTTTCATATCAAAGAAATTTGGTTTCACTATCTAAATAATTATCAAAATTTGGCCATTTTAAAATTTAATAGATATTAATATTAGAAATAAGTCAGTAACACATTGAATAAGAAATTATAGGATCAAAATTTAAATTTTACGCTGTAGGCAACCAACAATACATAAAATAAATTAAAGTAAATACACCCAGATAAAATCTTTTTCAGTGTTACAAAAATATTGTAGGAGACTTCTAAATATTCTTTAATTGTGTTTGACATTCCACATTGGATATTTATTGCTATATAAAAAACACAATCTAATAAATAAATTAATTTCTAAATAACATCTTTTGTTTAGTGTGGTGTGTTGTGTTGTTTCATGCTGAGTTGTACCTTCATTTGAACCTACTACTGAGAAGGGTCGAGAGCTAGCCAGGATAAAATAAACAACCAACATTACAACCAAAACATTTACACAAATAAATTATATATTACTGTACATAAAAAGATTGGCGCATACACAAAGACATATTCATACCCATAACAATATATATATATATACAGTGTATCCCACTGGGAATCGCCGCGATCGATATCTGGAAAAGTACTTATTTGAAAAATTTGAAAATTTGGCAATTTATCGAAGTTAGTGGGTGCAATACAACTAAAATATTTTCAAGGTCATAGCACTTCCGGTTATACCGGAAGTCGATGCTATCTTCGTTATTTTAAATGGAACACCCTATATATTTTTGCATTTTTGGATTCTACTTGAAATTCTAAGGTCACTTTGTATAACAAACCTAGTTCCTAAATTTTGTAGTTTTTGAGATATTGACATTTTTATGAAAAATTTGACAGATGCAAGGTTGTGCGAGGTCCTCTGTATTTTATTCCAGCAATTAGATATCAATTTGAGATTCNTGGGATCAGCCCTCCCAAAAGAATCTAGAGACCTTAGTGATGTTCCCGCAAAAAGTGCGCGAAAAAGCAGTGCGCAAGAACGACGTGATGAAACATTAGAGCGCTTAGAGAAGCTCGAAAGACAGTTGTTGGTAGCTTCGGCTAGTGTTCCTCCTTCTGGTTTTGCTTCAGTGGCAAATCTCAGGTTACCGCCTTTTGAGCCATCCTCAAATTTTGCTGATCCAGAAGGCTGGTGTGCCATAGTGGATTTATGGGTTGCAAAATACAACCCTGACAAGATGGAGTTAATTATGGCCCTATCCAGTGCCATGAAAGGTGAAGCTGCTAGTTGGCTGGTTGCCGCTAAACCTATTGAAAAAGACTGGGTAACGCTAAAGGCAGAATTGCTAGCTGTTTTTGCGAAACCCTTAGATCCGCTGGAACAGTTCTCGGAAGCTGTGAACGGCAAGAAGAATATTCCAGAAGATACTACCCTCATCGACGAAATGCTTCATTCAATGAGAACAGTGCTTGCTCTTCTGAAGAATCGCGAGAGTGATGAAGCCTTCGCGGTCCTTGTGGCTTGCTATTTTGGTTCTACGCGGGAAGCTTTTGTCAGAAGAAGGTTCCAAGCAGAGAAGCCCAGAGATGCCAAAAGTATGTGTACTATGCTACAAGGGAGACTTGGAAAGCGACCGGCGCTATCTCCTTCCGGTCTTCATACTGGATTGAAGCGTCAAGCACCATCTCCCAAACACGAAAAGGTTTCCTTCTTCTCAGGACGATGCCATAATTGTGGACGACCCGGACATCGATCGATCCATTGCAGAAGGCGACAATTTCCAGCTACCACAAGCCGCAGCGAAACTCGAGGTCCCGAAACTAGGGCTGTTATCTGTTATACCTGTGGGAAACCGGACCATATCTCCCCCAATTGTCCTTCTGCAAGCAGAAAATCGAGGCCTGATGTCCCAGAGAAGCGAGTCAGCATATGTGAAAAGCAGTCCCTGCCAGTTGGACAGCTCAAGCTGATTTCCGGTGAGATCTTTCCTTTTTTATTTGACACAGGTTCAGATTGTTCTCTTGTTAAAGAAAGTTGTGCAAATCATTTTAATGGTAAACGTTTTAATAATTTAACCTCACTGAAAGGCATTGGTTTTGGCTCTTTTTTAAATAATAGTCAAATATTGACAGTCGTGGATATTCAAGGAATTCATGTTGAGCTATTATTTTTCGTTGTGCCTGATAATTTCATGTCTGCTCAAATTGTTATTGGTAAAGATTTAATAACTCAAAATATCAGTGTACGATACAACGCAGATGGTTTATTTTTTTACCGAGAATGTAAGATACAAACAGTCGAACGAGAAGCAATAAATTTCAATAGCATAGAAACAGATGTTACGGGTGCTGATAGGCAAAATTTAGTAACTGTCTTGTCCAAGTACCTCAATAATTTTGTTCTGGGAGTCCCGTCGGGGCGTGTAAAAACAGGTAGTTTAGAAATTCGTTTAAAGGACCCAGCTAAATATGTTCAAAGGAGACCGTACCGATTGTCTTCTGCGGAGCGCGACATTGTCAGAAATAAAATAGATGAATTATTACGTGCTAATATTATCACACCTAGTAGTTCTCCGTTTTCTAGCCCTATGATTTTGGTTAAAAAGAAAGACGGTTCAGACCGTATTTGTGTTGATTATAGGGAACTGAACGCCAATACAGTTCCAGATAAATATCCTTTACCACTTATAAGTGATCAGATCAATAGATTACACGGAGCTTATTATTTCACTTCATTAGACATGGCGTCTGGTTTTCATCAGATTCCTGTTCATCCAAACTCTGTTGAAAAAACTGCTTTTGTTACACCTGAAGGGCAATTTGCCTATTTAACAGTCCCATTTGGTCTCATGAATGCGCCAAGTGTTTACCAACGGGCCATTGACAAAGCTTTAGGTAATCTACGCCACACTTATGCAATTGTTTATATCGATGACATTTTAATCCCTTCTGTCTCAATTTCTGAAGGCCTCGAACGCCTTGACTGTGTTCTTAAAACTCTTGTAGATGCTGGTTTTTCTTTTAACTTTAAAAAATGTAAGTTCCTTAAATTGGAAGTTGAATATTTGGGTTTTTCCGTGAGAGCTGGAGAATTGCGTCCTAATCCTGGGAAAACTGCAGCTCTGGTCAATTCTCCTATACCAAACACACCTACGCAAGTTCGTCAATTTCTTGGATTAGCTTCATATTTTCGAACATTTATACCCAATTTTTCAAAAATTGCTGCTCCATTATACCAATTAAC